AAGCAATTTTTTCCTATTTAAAACATCGCAATGCGATCGCTTTTTCGATCGCAAATTCTTCGTCGCTAAGCGGTTTCATCGTTAAACGGGGTGCTTGTTAAGCGAGGCACTACTGTACCTAAACCACTGAGCTCTTCAGCCAGCTGCTTAACATAAATCTATAGAATAACTATTGCTACTAGAGTGGACGAATAGTCCAGATAGGCGGGGTAAAAATCAAATAAATAAATAAATAAATACTGTTAGGTTGGCAAATGTTAAGGAAGACTTCACTACACATCAGATAAAGCTGTATGGTAAAATATGTCCTGGACCAGTTGTTTGGGATTATATCCAACAGTACTTCAGTTCCCTGTGTATGCTCTACAAAAGCATGCTCTACAAAATGCAGTCTTCAGACTGCTTAGAGTCCTGTATTACAGACATTCATAAGAGGAAGACATGATAAAGTGAATGATTTGTATCTACCACAAATCATTAAAAAGATAGCATTTGTCTCTGTCCTGGATTAATATATTGTGGAGTAAAGCATTTAAAGCATTATACAAAAATCAGTAATTTATCTGTCCAAAATTATTTGGCTTTACTTTGGTAGAATAGAATAATGGAGTGTTATTTCTACATTAGCATTTATACATTTTGTAACCAAGTTACCATCATTGCAACAACCAATTTGATAGTTATATTTTTCATTCCACATAATCGTTTGTTCACCAAATGAGAAGAGAATGAATCCCTCAATTACCCTTTTAATCCATCTACATTAATCCTGCAGTTACCCCTGTAATCACACAAAATATATTTAATAACATTTAAATGTGTGATTTGCAAAGCAGGCTCTTATTCAAAAAATGCTACTGGCAAGCATTTAAATACAAAGACATGTTCTGCTTTCATGTGCTCGCTTAACTGGCTGAAAGGCTACACTTACAGCTGCTAAAGGAGTCAGAATGAGTGCCCTCCAGGAGACCCATCTGTCCATCCATCCTTTGGTGTGTTTATCTTACTCACATTCACAATACATAAAACAGAGCACACAACCAAACACCACATTTAGGATGTTTCCAGATGTTAATAACCCTACCTATTTTATGGTATGGTATTGGGGACAGGGAAGTGTTTGTTTATGATTCTGTCTTCAACAGATAACTCACCTGTACTTTCTCAAGGAAAACATATTCTGCTTATTTAAAAAAAGTCTGATAAGGAGAGAGAGAGAGAGAGAGAAACAGAATACTGTAGCGGCAAAATATCTTTTGATTGTGAGTGTTACAGACCCTCACTCTTGGAGCACTTTTAGTCAAACTTGGAATAGGAAGGTTATAATAGATAGGACTTCAGTTAGTTGTGAGCAAATCTAATTGATTTTTCCAAGAACTCAGTGGTTTAGGTATGGCTGTGGATTCAGAGGTTGGATGTTCAATGCCACACTGTGCTTTCTTAACAAAGACTGGACTCAATGATCCATGGGGTCCCTTCCAGTTCTAAGATTATTATTATTTGTGAACCCTGGATCCAACCCACTTTCCAGCATGAATTACTGCAATTTATCATCAGAGACCAATAACTCAGTCTGGACAATTGCACTTTTTCTCAAAGGTCTTGTTCAGTTCCTTATCAACACTCCCTTCAATACCATTATCTGTCACTATCAGCCTTTGTGGCATTATAATATTACCAGGCAACATGCCCTCCAACTTCTACATGGCAAACACACAATCACATCTCTATGCAAGAGAACAAACATATACAAACTGAATATAAATAATGGCTGAAAACCAGTAGAAAGTTGCAACTGGAGTAGGCCCACTGAATCAGTGGGAATTTGATGAGTCAACTCCTCTGTAAGTTCCACTGATCCAATGGGACTACTCTAGTTGTGACTTAACTAGATTGCAGCCAATGGTAACATTGAGAAACTAGCTGGGCATTACAAGTAAGGTTACCTGTAAGGGTAGGGAGGAAACATGGAAGGAGCAAGAGCCATTTTTTAGACTGGGGGGCTGCTGGGGGGCTGCACTCCCCTATCTAAAGTGGGAAGTGCTATTTCCAAAATGGGAAATTGTATAATCATTCGGACAATGAAAATCAATGTCTTTCTTCAAGTTAATTTATTAAACAATGAATTAAACAGAATTAATTCATAGACTTCTACATTTGTTTAAGCATTTACACAGTCTAACTTTAATAAGGCAGCACTGAGGAGTACAAAACAACACAGTACCAGAAAAACAGGGGTCTGTGGCTCTCCGATGGCTAACAGTCCCCCAGACCAGACTGAAGCCTCCTAAATAACACCTAAGTTCTAAAATAACAAGATGCTTAATTCTCTAGAGAAGTGCAGGGGAAACACCTGGGAAGAGGGAGACAACTGAAGGCTCCCTAATTAAAATGACATTGTCCAAAAGGCTTGCTTGCTGCTTTATTGAGGTTCTGTTTTAGATGCAGAGGTTTGATGCTTGTTTTCATTTTTTAAAAAGTATTTTTCTGGGGAACATGGGAGATCCTGGAAGGCACAGGGGGTCACAAAAATGGCCTAGGGGCCAGCATTTGCCTATCTCGTGTCTCATGACACCATCAAGGGTAAAATGTTTTATTTGCTTTATGATTTCCTAGACAGCTGCACATCAAGATGTACCTGCATCTATAGAGACTGGCTGCAGTCCATGAAAGCAGACACCAAACAGAAATGGTTCTTCTTTGAGATGCATAATGAACTTAACCTTTCAAAAGGAACCTAACAAGTGGGAATTACAGTTACAATGCACTAGTAAAACGACTGACTCTTTCTAGCTCCATAATGGATTTTTAGAGACATTTTGATAGGAATTGTTCACATTTTATGCTATTTTAGTCCAGTCTATGGATTGTTTTAAAATAGCAAAAGAATAAAAAATTATTGAGCAATGCTGCAATAAACTGAGGCTCAATCCAGACAAGTCTGACGTGCTGCTGGTAGGTGCCCCGCCAGATAGGTTAAAGGGCTATTTCCCTGCCTTAGACAGGATTACACTCTAAAGGACAGAGTCCACAGCTTGGGGGTGCTCCTTGACCCGGGTCTGACTTTGGAAGCCCAGGTGGACTCGGTGTCCAGGGGTGCCTTCTTACAGCTGCGGAGAATATATCAACTTCGCCCTTACCTGGATGAGCGGAGCCTGGCAGCAGTCACTCATGCACTGGTAACAACCAGACTAGACTACTGCAGTGCGCTATACGTGGGGCAGCCTTTGAAGATGGTCCGACGACTGCAACTGGCACAGAACCGGGCTGCGTGGCTGGTAAGTGGTGCCACCGCACGGACTCGTATCACGCCGGTTCTGAAAAATTTGCACTGCCTGCCGGTTGCTGCTCGGGCCCAATTCAAAGTGCTTACTTTGACATATAAAGTCCTAAATGGCTCAGGACCTGGTTACCTAATGACCGCCTTCTTCCATATGAGCCTGCCCGTCCTCTAAGATCAGGCCAGGAGGCCCTTCTGAAGGTGCCATCCCTGAAAGAGGTGAGGGGGATGGCATGTCAAAATAGGGCCTTCTCAGCTGTTGCCCCCCAACTTTGGAATGCCCTCCCTATAGAGATCCGCCTGGCTCCAACACTCTTGGCTTTTCGGCGCCAGGCAAAAACCTTTCTGTTTAGCCAGCATTTTAATTAAACAGTATTCCCTAGCTGGCCACATGAGCAGCAGGACTTATTAATTTTAATGTTTTAAGAATTATTTTAATATATGATATTTTATATTGTCTTTTAAAATGTTTTTAAGTTTTAATGTTGTACGCCGCCCAGAAGCCACTGGTAATGGTGCGGCTAAAAAATATTGTAAATAAATAAATAAAATAAATGCATGAATAATGAAATGTTATTTTATTTAAAGAACAACAACTGTAATGAGCAATGGCAACAAACAATTTTACAAACACTATAATGAGCAACAGGAATGGATTATGTTTCTAAATTCATGTTTCAAGGTGTGTCTAGGACACATTCTGCTATAGCAGTAGGCAATTTGAGGTCCCAAGGCCACACCTTGAGCTCAGGATGGGCCTCAATCTAATTACAGAAGCCCTGGACAAACAACCAGTCAGGCTTCAGCAAGGGCAGTCTGTCCCATCTCAAATATCATACTGGATGGGAAGGGGTGGTGGTGGAAAGAGAAGTGGTGGTATGGAGAAAGGGTGGGCTGGCCTTTGCTGATCCCATCCACTGCCGGATACGGCCCCTCCCACTGCTGACACTCACTGATAGATTATCCCTGAGGGAATGTGGCCTTCATCATAAAAGTGGTTGCCCAGCACTACTCTACTGTTAATCAAAAACACACCATGCATGAGTTGAAACCTTTCAAAGAGAAGTAATAGTATGAAATTTATGAACAAACATGGTCTATTTAAATATTATTTATATTAGACCTTATCAGAATGATGCATTTCTTTCTTAGTACAACCATAAAATTAATGTAGCATAGCAAGAAAGGTAGTATTATCTCCTATGACTGCTTTTATGAAGGACTCGCTTTGCATATAATCATCAACAGTTCATGCCTGTGATGATGTAGGTTCAAATCCCTGACAATTTATGATGCAGTATTACTGTTAGTTCTTCATGGTGCCAATCTCTCTTTATTCTTCTTTTTACTAAATAAACATAGAATCATACAATAACTGAATTGGAAGGGGCCTATAAGGCCACTGAGTCCAACTCCCTGCTCAATGCGGGATTCAAACCAAAGCAGATACGGCAGAAGGTTGTTCAATTTTCTCATGAATGTATCCAATGTTGGAGCGCTCACCATTTCCAGAGGTAATTGGTTTCACCGTCCTACTGCTCTAACATCATTAAACACCTGTGTGTTTTTGCCTTTGAACAATGACCAGACATGAACTCCTTCACAAATCATTGTCAATCAAAAGTGCTTTGTTTCTGAGCAACTTGGGGAAATCAATATGAGAAAATTGATAGATTATAATGAAGAACTGATGACTGCAGTGGTAAACCGTAACACTTACGTGTTCTGATGAGATCTTCTTGAGAAGTTCAGAACTGGGTGTACCAACTACTTCCATTATTCGTTTTAGTTGGTCAATATCTGCAAGGATTTAAGAAAACTATAGGAAGAGAGAATGATGGCAAGTAAGTCCTTGTAAGAATGATGGCCAAGTAAGTCAAACCAGGACAGGAGAACCTGTGGCTTTTCAGATAGTAGTAACTCATCACTAGCCAGGCTGGTGGAGGGAGATGGGAATTAGACAGCCAAACCAACTGACAACCTCTGCTTACTCATGGAACCCGATAAGAATAAAAAGAATGTGGACCTACAGGTGTGAACATGAACAGCACTAAGAGAAAACGCTGTTTTTATACGTAGAGGGAGGAGGTCTTTGCCCATGCCACAATATTTCTTTATAGACACATACTATGAGCAGGCATGTGGAAACCGACACACAGGGTCGCAGGGTAACCAAAGCAAAAAAAACCCAAACAGACTTTAAGACAGATAAGTGGCTTGTGATCCTTCAGATGCTGCTGGACTATAACTTCTATCAATCTTCACCATTCATTATGCTAAGGTCTGTAATCTTAAAATATCTGGAGGACCAGAAGTTGCCCATCCTTGATCTATGCACTCAGTTAAGGTAACAGGTTTAAATGAAGTCTCAGATTCTTACTCAAAGAGGAAAAAACACCACCAGTTAGTTTATACACTGTGAGGAGGTTGTTGAGGCCTGCACCCCAAGCAGGCGATCAGATCTTGCCTGGCACCCCCCCAGAAGTCAACATAGACTACTAGACCTCAGGTGGGCAAAGTGATTGGCCTGTCCAAGAAGGAGAGGCAACCATGGGACCCACACCAGTGCCAAGGGACCAGGGCGACATTATATGAGCAGATGGGGGCTATATAGTTAGAGGAGGGGGAGGCAGAATGGAAGGAACAAAAATCGAGGGAGATGGAGGCAGGCAACTCAGAAGAGGAGGAGTATTGGATGGACACTTGGGAAACAATGATGTCTTCTTTGGAAGCTGAGTCATGGCAACTGGACTTCTTTCTTACTAGGTTGAAACATTTCGCTACTCACCCAAGTAGCTTCATCAGTCTGTACTTTGACGAGTAGCAAAACATATCAACCCAGTAAGAAGTCCAGTTGCCATGACTCAGCTTCCAGATACCCTCAACTGGATGACTGAGAATTGTCACAGATATGATGTCTTCTTTGAGTACATCCTCAAGGAGAACTTGGGTCCAGTGGAGATCCAGGTTACTAAGGAGATATCAAGAGCCTGCACCACCCCGAGACCTAGACGATTTCAGCTGAGACATCCAAATTGAATCCAGGAAGAACAGAAGCCACCAAAACCGATTCCAACTCCAACACCTTCACAGAAGAGGTGCTGGAGATGTCAGTGCCAAAGAGAACACATGCACTGTCAGAAACAACCCAACTCCCAAGTGAGAGTCCAGGACCTGGCATAAGCCCTCCCTGAAAGAGGGCAGGGGACAAGGGCAGGGGGAAGAACTATTGGTGGCTCCTCAGTTCCGATTCCATCCATCCTACTCAAGCCAACTGGGGACCACAAAGGGACTGAGCTTGCTCAGGGGCCACTGCAGGAAACCTGGCTCCCTGAAGATGGGATTTGTGGGGATGGGGTTGCCAGTGGAGAAACGAAAACTGTCAGTCCTACCTCCCTGTAAATTAAGTTAGAGTTGCCTCATCCTTCCAGTCTGGAGCCTGTGGATATCCATATGAGGGTTTACTTGCTGCTCTGACACTTGTTTGTCTCATCTAGAATAGATCCTTGAACAAACTGAATCGTCAATTATGTATGTATGTATGTATGTATGTATGTATGTATGTATGTATGTATGTATGTATGTATGTATGTATGTATGTATGTATGTATGTATGTATGTATGTCCCCTTAATCTAGTGGGTTTACTCTAATTGGAAATAGCATAAGGATTGAGCCCTATCATTCCAATGAATTAGCCAGTTGCACTACACTTCCAAGATAGGTGGTTTTCAGTAAACTCCAAAAGAGGAAAAAGAAGTGGATATTTTATCATGCCAGGTACTGCTGAAGCAGAAAGGGATCCTCTGTCTGTCAGGCAGGTTATGAATTTCTTGACAGCTCTGATCTCCAGCAAATGCTCAGACAACCACCACTGCTGTCTTTCATGCTGTGATTGTATCTAGGTCATTATTTAAATGAAGCATACAAAACAAATATTTTAGGTGCCCTCCTGTGGCTTAAAGACACAATGTTGTCACACTTTATGGCTGTTATTGCGTCCAACTGTGAAAAACAGCCTCTGTAACTATTAGAAACATGTTTGCTGTACCAATTTTTGGTAAATGACTAGACATTGCCTTAAAAGCAATTTCAGTGATGAGGGCAGAGGGAAAGAGCTGGAGTGTTATTTGCATTTCAGTAATTTCACTGTGGGCGAGAAGGATACAGTCGTTTCCAGGAAACAGGGCCTTCCCTTTCAGCAGCTCGGCCATGATGCATCCAACTGACCAAATGTCAACTGTCAAAACAAACAAGCCAAAAGTTGGGAGGGCTCTGCATAAAAATGGTCTTTTGACTTACCCCGCACACAAAAGGTAGATTTTGTTATAGCAATATTATTTATTTTTATTTATTTATTTATTTATTCAATTTGTATCCCACTCCCATTAGTGTCACAACACTACTCTGGGCGGGTTACAATCTCATAAAATAGAAAACGCAAATCAAAATAGAAATATTAAAAACTGAACACAAAAACCTTACAGAAAGAAGAAAAAAAGAAAGAAAACCAGATTGCACTGACTAATCTCAGAGCAGATGCAGAAAAAGAGGGGAGGGAATAGGAGGAGGGAAGAGGGGAAAAAAACAGGGGGAGGAAGGTGGTCAGCTGGGATTGGCGTGGAAAGCTTCTCTGAAAAGCAATGTCTTTAATTGCTTCTTAAACGTCCACAGGGAGGGGGGGGCTAGGCGGAGCTACTCTGGAAGCTGGTTCCATAAGGTTGGAGCCACCACAAAAAAGGCCCTACCTCTTAGAGAGGATTGGCCACTCTGAGGAGCCTCAACTGAGGAGCCTCAACTGGGATGACCATGTTGGTTGGGCAGATGACATTAAGGAGAGGCACTCCGACAAGTAACATGGACCAAAACCATGAAGCGCTTTGTATATGAGTGTCAAAACCTTGAAGCAGTGGAGGCGAGCCAAAACTGGAGTGTTGTGGTCAAATGTACTTGCACCAACCACCAGTCTGGCTGCCGCATTCTGGACTCACTGAAGACTTCGGATCAGGTTCAAGGGAAGCCCCAAATAGACGGCATTGTAGTACTCAATCCAAGAGATGACCAGGGCCTGCACCAAAGTCCTGAGGGAATCATCGTCTAGGTAGGGGTGAAGTTGGGCAATTAACCTAAGCTGGTTGAAGGCTGATCTGGACATGGCTGCAATATGGGACCCCTATGAGATAACTGGGTCCAGAAGAACACCCGAATTACACACTTAAGCCTCTAAACTGGATGGGATTACCATCCAGCCTAGGGACCATCCCCCCTAACCTATTGGAGCCCCCCCCAGGAGCAAAACCTCTGTTTTGTCCAGGTTCAGTTTGAGCCTGTTAGCCCTGGTCTATTCCAGTACTGCAACCAGGCAACACTCCAACATCTGGATGGCATCCATTGCAGAGGTGGTAACAGAGAGAGAAAGTTGCATGTCATCAGCATACTGATGACCCCTTACTCCAAAACTCTTTATGACTCCCCCAACAGCTTAACATAGATATTAAACAGCATTGGGGATAGTGCCAATCCCTGAAGAAACCTACACCAAAGGGTCCAAGGTGCCGACACCTCCTCCCCTAGCTGAACTCTCTGGACACAATCCTCAATGATGGATCAGAGCCAGCTCGATGCTAAGTCCCCAATCCCAAACTCGGAGAGCCTGTTCAGGAGGATATCGTGGTCGACGGTATCAAAAGCTGCTGAGAGATCTAGGAATACCAACAGAGTGCATCTGCCCATCAGCCTCCCTTAAAAGGTCATCCTGCAGCGCAACCAATGTCATCTCAGTATTGTGTCATCTCAGTATTGTGACCTGAATCCAGACTGGAATAGGTCAAGGCAATCCTGCTCCTCCAGGTATGACTGCAGCTGATTTGCCATCACCCTCTTTTCACCTTGCTCAGGAATTGCATGTTAGTGATTGGACGGAAATTGTTAAGTTTGTCCGACACTAAACAGGGGCGTTTGATGATGGGTTGGATGATGGTTTCTTTTGAACATGAGGGAAGCATTCCCCCCCTCAGTGATGAATTAATAATGTTCACGACTCTGATCATAGCCCCCTTTGTGGCTCCGATCAGCCAGGAAGCAGTGCGCCTACAGCTAGCCATCAACCTGGAGGCTTCCTCCTTGACTACAGGGTCAAACTGAACCAGCTGGGCAGGGGGACATGGGGCAGACCCGGATCAGCTAAACTGCTGGTGGAGTCAAGGTCGACAGAATATGCAAAGAACAGGAAAATATTTTAAGTCTCACCTGTCTGATTGTAATGCATCCAATTTAACATGATTTCTGGGGCTCTGTACCACCGTGTGGCCACATAACCTGTCATTTCATCATCAGTTTGCCGGGCCAAGCCGAAGTCTAAAATCTACAGAATAATTAATCAAAAATTATTTTTATTATACAGACATTTATACTTTCATTACTCTGGCTACTGTGATTTTATTTGAACCAGGCATTGCCAAGATAAATGTCTGGTCCCAATGTGACCCACTCCACCCCAGAAAGCTTCTATGTACCACCTTAGAAGATTTTGTTTGAAGCAGCTGGTCTTTACAATGGCTTTACGTAGATCTCAGAAAACCATTGAGTAACTTGGCAAAAATATATGGGCAATTTTGCTAGATAATAATGTAATCTCTGTTACTTTTTATGGGAACTCAAAGTATTATGGAACACCTCAGATATTCCAGTATCCTAGAACATGCTAGGAAAGTTGAAGTCAGCAGGAAAAAATATAAAAAACCAAATATGAGGTAAATCAATCCCATAAAGAAAGCCACAGCCTTCAGTTTGCAAGAGCTGAGCAGAACTGTTTATGACAGGACACTTTGGAGGTAACTTATTCTTATGGTTACCATAAGCTGCAGTCAACTTAAGGGCACATAAGAAAAACAGCATATTTCAACATCCAGCAGGATACTCTGATAACTCTCTTCCTGAAAGAGGACTAAAGTTAGCAAAGAACCAACTATGAGGCTGCCTAGAAGAGTATGTCAGCGAGGATTGGGAGAATTGATGATGATATACGGAACAGAGTATCAACAATAGTGCTGGCGGCTGAAGGAGGATTTTTACTCCCATCTGAAGTTTTTATTAGTTTAATAGAGTGAAATAACACAAACCATTATTCCAAGCTCTCTCAATACCCTCCAAAGTATTTTAGATTTCAGCTACAATATGCCACATGCAGCATGGCCAATGGTAAAGGATCACAGGAGTTTTAGTCCATAATATCTGGAGGAACAAATGTTCCCTATCTCTGCTTTACCAAATGCATTTTTGTCCACAGGATCATAAGGCACTGCCTTATACCAGATCAGACTATTTGCAAACCATGTGCTCTTCTACTAAGGAATTGTCTCTTCTGAGTTCCACCTTATCCTCCCCATGTGCAATCCCACTTGAAGGACAATTGCAAAACATACATGTAATATCAGATGGAAACACAATACCCTAAAGATAAATCATCTAAGAATCACGTACAAACAGATCTTAAATTGTTGTTTTCTTGGCTAGCAGAACTTTATGGCAAACTCTGAGGACGTTCGGTTTAGGAAAGTTTATCAGAAAAGAAATTATTCTGCAACAAGTCATTTGTGAAGCTTGATTTAGCTTTTTAACATTTCATTAAGGAACATGAAGGACAGAATTCAAGGGCCATGTAATCTGACATCTACCTTTTCATGGTTACGTGCAAAATCAGTTAAAAAGTGGAATCTCATAATGATAATGCCTTAATGCTAACTGGGTCTTAAATATGTGACTGCAAAACAAACTAATTCACTGCATGTTTACGGTCCTAAGGATGAAACCGATTTCTTTACAATGGCACCTTGATGCTAAATATTTGACCTGAACTATTTGGCTGCAACATCGTTTCAACTACATACTGAGCAAAAGAAAAAAGAAAAAAAGAAAAAAGTATTGTTCCATGTATGGGTATCATCGTAAGCACTTCTTAGGGTGAATTATTCAGAACATCTTCTGAAAATACACCATGTATTGTTGGCATTGAGAGCTATTTAGTGATACCATGTAATAGGAAAGAGAAGAGTGTTCAGTTTCAGTCATTAGGATCTACATAATATTTCTGGACATGGATTCCACTTCAGATCAGGCTCATACTGCAAGACTGCACCTTTTGTTGCATGACCACTGTGAGAAGTATTTACCATGTTGGGTTGCAACTGTGTATGAGCAGTGATAGATGTGCATTAAGCACCATATTTCTCCATGTATACAATCCCCAATGTATAAGACGACCCTCAATTTGACCCTTGCTGGAGGCGGAGAAGCAGTCAATGGGCAGCCGCGAGGAGCGGTCCAGCACAGCTGCTCTTCTGCCTTCTCCGCTGCTGCCACCTGATCACCTCCTCCACTGCCACTCACGGGCTTCCTTCTGGCAGGGGACAAGGTGGCGACGTGAGCTGGAGGTGAACTCTGGCAGTGGCGCTGTAGGAGGCAATCAGGCAGCAGTGGCAGCAGCAGGAAGAGGCAGAGATGCAGTTGTGCTGGGCCGCCCCTCACAGCTGCCCATTGACTGCCGCCGCCGCCACCCGATTGCCTCCTCCAGCGCCGCTGCAGGGGCTTACCTCCAGCTCATGTTGCTGCCTCGTCCCCTGCTGAAGGGAGCCCGCGAGTGGCACTGGGGACAATGGGCAGCTGCAAGAGGCGGCCGAACGTGCCTGGTCCTTCACCTCTGCCTCCTTCTGTGTATAAGACGACCCTCAAGTTTTCCTCTAATGATTTTAGGGAAAAGTGTCATTTTATACACAGAAAAATATGGTATTGTCAGTTACTACTACATCTAGTAATTTCTGGATTGGAGCCTATATAATTTATTTATTTATTATTGAATTTATATATTGTCCATCTAGCAAATTGCTACTTTGGGCAGTGTACAACAAAGAAAAGAAACATGGATTACATAGTTACTCTAAAATAGTCAGCTATTGTGAGAATAAACACACAACCAAGATGGTGACAAGTTCAAAAAAAATCAGAATACACAGTGCAATATTCTTCTTCTCCTTCCTCCATTGTCCCAATTAACTAGGAAAAGCCTCTACAAAAGCTTCCCTAAAGAACTCTGTTTTTAGGAAATGTTTAGAGATCCAGAGGGAGGGCACCTGCCATAATTCCTGTGGGAGAGAATTCCGCAGGTAGCTGCCACTGCTGATAAAGCCCAGTTTCTCATTGATGTTCTGATGGCTTCTCAGGGTTTCAATATCCGCAGGTGGAAGGTCAAATAAGGGAAGCTGACCTAGGCAGGTCATTCAGGCACGTAATAAGGTCCCAAACCATTTAGGGCTGTATACAACAAAACCATAAGCTTGAACCTGGCATGGAAGCGGACTGGTAACCAGTGCAGGTGAACCAGAATTGGGGTGATATCTCTCAACATCCTCACCCCAGCAACCATTCTGGCCACTGCATTATCATTTTATACTTGCCTCTGTTCTCAAATAGATTATTATTCCTTTGGAAAAAGTGTCTTTATGTAACGCATTGGTGTGTGTGGGGGGAGATATAAGGTACATTAACAGAAGATTTCATCTCTCAATTTACAGGAGAAAAAGTGGGATGCAAATATTCAATTTATTGATTCAATTTGACCCATACAGACAGAAAATATACAGTAAAAGAATGAGAGGGACTACAGGGGGATAGGTACATTGAAAGATTAGGTAATCGGGACAACCTCCGCCCTCTTACACACTGCAGCTAGGAAAAACTTTGCTACCTGGTAGAAGGGTTTTAATCTAATAAGCAGCATTGTACTAACCTGTTCAGCAATAGGTTGTTCTTGATTTGGTCATAGAATAGGCAGTGTAAAAACGTATGTGCAAGAAATTCAGGGGACCCTTTTCCAAAAGGGCAAAATCTTTCTTGGCATGGGATCCCTAAAAATCTGCCCTGAGATGCAAATATTATTAACCAAACTTCCCAGTGTGGCAGTTGATATTTTGTACAATGAATCAGAAATATGGGTACCAATAATGTAATACCGAGTTCTATAAGTTAAACCACAAATCAATTCCATTTTGTTGATGGAATAGCTATTATCATAATAGCTTTTTACTAATGGGCTAAATCCAGTTTCAGTTCCAAGTAGAGTGAGATGCATTCAAATCAATGGGGCTTGTTAGCCAAGTTAGTAAATGCAAGTCTCATTGATTTCAAAGAATCTACTCTATTTGGGACTAAAATCAAATTTAGTCCTCTGTATCTTCTTTTCAAAATGCCATTTCTACACTGTAATCACAACTGTTTGTAAATCTGTCACAGCTACCTTTTCATCTACCTTTCTCAAAACGGAATTAATCTTTCATGCAAAAAGGCACCATAAAAACGGCAATGAAGGCTTTAAAGAAAAGATGACATTTTCAGAGCAACCCATTAATAATCAGAGAATTTGCAGTTATGAATTAAAAGATCGAGCATTTGGTATAACAGTTGGGATGTTGCCTTACTCAGAGTCAGACCCTTAATCCCTCTAGCATAGTATTGTTATCCTTGAGTGGCAGCAGTGACCCTCCACAGTTTCAATGAGGAGTGTCAACCAGCTCTACCTGGAGATTTTGGAGACTGAATCAAGGATCTTGTTCATGGTAATCAGGTGGTCCACCAAGCCACTCCCCCACATTTATCACATGCCATTTATTTGAAAGAGCAACAATTAGTGAAAATTTTGACATCTTATTTTCTTGCTCAATACGAAAAAGGTAAAAAACTGAAAACAGATGTCTGCACACAAACAGATGTTGCTCAGCTATGTATTTCCTCTAATATATATTTGGTCCAGATTTTATTCAAGTAATCAAAATAGCATGAATCCTACCCTTAATTCACAGTCTTCATTTACAGCTAGGTTACTGGGCTTCAGGTCCTGCATCAGAATGAATAGTTAAGAGTATTAAAAACAGGCTAAAGTTAATGAGGTCAGCCTTTAAAGCTGCAATCTGACACCCACTTAACTGGGAGTAAACCCCACTGAATTCAATGGGATTTGCTTCTGAGTAGACATGTATAGGATTGTGATGTAACTATTTCAGTACAGTGCATTGTACCGCTAACATAACTTACCCGGTGAATGATTCCGGCTGAGTGAATATACTGAAAAACAAAGAGGGAATAGATAAGCATTTGACCTCAAATCGAAGTGGTTATAGACAGAAAGAGATGTTGCTTTGTCTTCACTTCCAAGTTTGTAGCAAGCATGCTATAATACAGGTAAGAAAAAAACGGGGGTGGGGGGAATGGCAGAATAACCATAACTTGAAATTAGGACTTTCAAAAAGCCACAACATTGTTAAAAATGAAATTTTAATGACAATAGAACAGCACACTTTTTTTTTGGCCCAGTATGCAGTTCAATAAATTATACTCTTGAGCATGTACACATTATTTCCCTCTAATTACCATCTAACCACAGCCAGGTTTCCATCCACCTGAGATTCAAGGGGAGGACCTTCACGTCAGACAGCAGGACTTCCACAAATACTTAGATAACAATAAAACACACATTAAGTTTGACACAAAGTCTACAGAAAGATGATTGATTAACTTTGGATTTTCACAAACACAAAAGCCAAATGAAGTATTTAATCCTGAAATTCTTGTTATAAAGAATTGTAGCTAACTTGTTAAGATCACTAGCTTACAGGGTGCCTGTTTACATTTTCAGTTAGAGATAAGACCCAGTAGCAGGACCATGCTGGCTGAGTAGCTCAATGGCCTAGGTATCTGACTGCGGACCCAGAGGTTGGGAGTTCGGTTCTTTACTGCGCCTCCTATGATTACAGCCAGCCTGTGTGGCTTTGAATAAGCTGCATAGTCGCAAAGTGGACTCAGAAGAAGGGAATGATGGACCACTTCCGAATATTTTCTATCTGAAAACCCCTGAAAGAGTCAGAATTGACTTGGCAACACACGATTATTAGTATTAGCAAAAGGATGCATTTTCAACTTTCTTCAATAATGATTGGTCCATGCTTTGAGCACTGAAGAATTTTATTTCTTATTCAGTCACCAAACTCTTTCTGTGCAATTATATTTTTTAAAAAAAGAAAAAAGTGCTCTCCTAAAAGTTAGTACTTGGATCTGTATAAAGGAGAAGGGTCAACTTAGAGGCAAGAAGAAAGTAAAAATATCCTCCATCTATCCAAGAAAAAAGGAATACGTGGAGCGAGCCTGATGCTGTGCTAGTACTGCGTGGATCTTTCTGTGCTGCCTTTCCTTGACATTGTCTTGAGATAGCAGACAAACCATGGCATGACTTTTAAAATCACATCTTTTTTCCCTTATTTTACCATTTCTCTGCTTGTTTTTTTGTAACATTTTGCCTGAAGAGGGGACCTGGTGTTTTGAAAAGCTGTACAAATTTTTGTGCCTTTTAAAGTTGACCTAATAAAACCATAATATGAATTTTGGAGTTCTTCACTGACACCAAATTACTTTAACTGAGTCACAGCCCTAGTCAAAGAAAGAGAGAAGGAATGAGGGGAAATGGAAGATTCCAGCTTCTTTGAAGTCGTCTATTTAAAGTAATTAGTTCACCTTTTAGAAACACACTACCATATAACTTTTACCTTAAGCCCTCGAAGTAACTGATATATAAGAAACTGTATATGGTCATCTGTCAATTTCTGGCACTTCACAATATTATTCAGGTCAGCACCCATTAAATTTGTGACAAGATACCTGCAAATATAAAACAAGGTTACTTATGACTTAGAGAAGGTATTGACTGTGCAGCTGTGTACAGCAGGACATCAAGAGAAAAATGTACAGGATGCAACCTTGTTCTTAGATATATTAGATATATATCCTGGGTATATTTTGTAATCTAAAAAAGTATTTTTGTTTGGAAACAGCTGGGTTGTGAGGCACACTGAATAGGCAGAAATCAGTGGAATTTGTATAATTCCAATTTCCAGTTAAGGTGTATAAATGTTTTATAGTCTATAACCATTAAAAATGGCTATATTAGATATCTTATCTAACACAAAGAATTGCTAAAGGTGACTGAACTCAGTCTAATATTGCTGTAATCACAGGTCTGGATGTAAACACTGGCTTCCTCTGTTCTAAAGAACTCCTTCCATCTAAAAAAGACTCTCTTTTATTGATAAAAGAGACGTTTGGATCCAGCCCACAGAGGTCAAAGGATAGTTTGGTAACAGTATACTGAATAACAACATACTCAGGTAAAAAGATTAGGACAATAGCATACAGCAGGAAAGGGGATTTTTTTTACCCTCTAAATGCTGTTTGACTCCAACTCCCATCAGTCCCTGCCAGCATGGTTAACAGTCAGAGATTATGAGAATTGTAGTCAAAACGATCTGGAAAGCCATGGACTCCCCATTCATAATGTAGGGAAGCAGCATTTCACAAAAGAAATAAGACAGGAATAATCCAGCAGAACGGTGTTTCATGATAACTTTTTATTCTACAGGTAAAGGGTTCTTTATCAATGCTTTATTCATACAAAGCCCCACAGTGCAGTTTCTTATTGAACATTTTAAACTGCACCCACTGCAGCCCTGGTCCAGACAGAGATCCAGTATGTGTGATGAAGTGAACAATACTTCCAGCCTCTAACTTGGAAAAGTTACTTCTTGTACTAGAAATCCCAGAATGTCCCAGTTGCTCTGGATGTTGCCCATGCTGGCTGAGGGATTCAGAGACCTGAATTCCCCACCTCCATTTTTCCAAGCCACACACCTTCCAAAAACTTTTCCAAGCCACACACCTCCCCAAGGTGAGTGAAAAAATGAAGTCAGAAAAGAATGTTGTATCATAGGTATTTACATGCATTTGAAAATCACCTTCCTTCTAACTAATGCAACTAATTACTAAAAGTCCTTAACATTGGTTGGACAGTGTTTTATTTTAGTGGCTTACCAGCTGTCAATATTTATGGCAAACTTTACTTACACTTCATTAAAATTTTCTATTGATGTTGCAGGAGTAAAAACATCTAGTAATCCTATAACCTGGAAGAGAAGAGAAGAATCCTCAGTTTACCTAGAGAAGTGTATGAGGCGATGCTGCATGCTTACCACCATTTGTACCTACAAGTTTTTAGAATGAAGACAATAGGAATTCATATGAGAAGAACAGAACATACTTAAGTCCAAATAAATCAGTTCTGCCTACCTCCGCATTTGAATTCTGGGCCCACAAAAGGTGTAAAATCGCACATGTTAATTATAACTTGCTTTTTCCCCCCTTGTAGCTCAGACTGCATTTCACAAGCAAAGTGAATGCTGATTCAGTAGTTTGTCTTGACATTCTCCCAACACTTCAGGCATCTTATCTGGCTTTATATTTTGAAAATCCTACATGTCTATTTTAAAAGTAAATCCTAGAATAAATCTATAAAATGGAAGAAAAAACAAAAGCAAAACAAAAAGAACCCCCCCCCAAAAAAAACCACAAACCTACACTGCACATAACCATGCTTGAGAGAGGAAGTGGTGTCACCTTTTTTTGTGCCTATTGGCTTTTATTGTAAATGCAGAGAAGCAGATTCCTCAGCTTCCATCTGAGGGGGGAGAAGGGACTAGTCTTTGAAACAAGACATGATGAAAATACTGCCACAGCAGACACACTGCTCAAGATATCTTTCATTGGAATGTCTAGTTTATGCATATCATCCTTAGTTTGGCTATAAATGTCAAATTATGGTTCTCTGAAAATGAGGAAGTGTGAAAAAAATCCACAGTTAGGAAGGAGCGTGCAAGACTATACACAGGTCCAGTCTTCCAAAACATCTGGGAGACTGAGACTAGTGAACTGACTCGATGCAATGGGAGCAAGCCAAGAAAGTACAGTTGTGCCTCAACTTACGAATGCCCCTACTTACGACCATTTCGAGTTACGACCAGCTCCAACCGCAAAATTTTGCTTCTACTTGCGACCGGAGCTTCCACTTACGAACAGAAAAAGGCAGGGAAAAATTCAAATTTCTAATTGTAGGTGGCGACGAGGCTGCTTCTTTCTAGCTCTTTCGCCCCAACAGTTAGAAAGTGTGCGTTGGAGGAGGCTTCGGATTGCCTCCTTCTGCTTCTGAGTGATCGTGTGTGCGTGTTTGCAGGGAGGCTTCGGTCACCCTTATAAGGTAAGGTGCTGTTTTCTGCTTTTTAAAAAACTTCTGGGTGTTTATGCAGCATGGTTTTGAGTTGGGGGGTTATGTTTCTGTGCTGTGATGGGTCTTGAGGGTTTGGTTGCTTTTTTGGGGGGGTTCCCCATTTCTGATAGGTCTTGGAAGGTTTGTTTTTTTGGCTTCCCTCCCATTTCCGATGGGACTTGGGGAGGGTTGGTTGCTTTTTGGGAGGGTTTCCCCATTTCCAATGAGTCTTGGGGGATTTGTTTATTTTTTTGGCTTTCCCCCCACCATTTCCCATGGGTCTTGGGGGGGTTGGTTGCTTTTGGGTTCCCGCCATTTCCGATGAGTCCTGCATGCTTCCCTTGCTTTTTCCTTTGTTTTCTTTGCATTTCAGACCTGCCCCCTTTGCATTTCCGATCTGTTCCGTTTGTTTTCTGTGCATTTCCAATGGGTCTTGAACACTTGATTGCTTTTCTTTTCTTTTTCCCCCTTCGGCCAGAAGGGATTAATCATGTTTCCAATGAGTCTTGCAGTGATTTGTGTGTGTGTGTGTGTGTGTGTGATTTTTTTCTTTGGCCGGAATGGATTAATTGCATTTCAATGCATTCTTATGGGAAGTGGTGCTTCGATTTACGACCATTTTGAGTTATGTCCATCTTCTGGAACGGATTACGGTCTTAAATTGAGGCACCACTATAATTAGTAAAAAGAATACTTATTTATGGAAAGTAAGGTTCCAGGTGTTTCAAAATGGAATGTAGGTTATGAGATATTAAGATGCAGGAGACCTGATTTCCTGTTACAGCTGTTCCTCCCATTATAATCAAATCATGTTCTACAATTTTTTGTACTTGCAGCAAGCACAACACATTTTTATATGCTGCCTGCAACCATAACTTTACAATTTTCATTGTATTATTAATGTGCCATCAACACTGTGGTCCTAAAATGAGAAAAAACACAGGTGTGTGGGACCATGTGTGTGTGAAGAGATGGCAATTTCCACATTTCCCAGGGTTTTAGTCCTCTTACTGTGCACACTATAGGAAGGTTGCTTGAGTTATCTTGTTTGGGCCTGCTTAAGATTTACATACATCCAGTGGCCTGGATCTCATGGGGTATGTGGTGTAAGAAGCCCTGTCAGTGATTTCTCTTCCTACACAGCATTGGCAGAAAAAAAAAATGGATTCTTTCTCTCCTTCCTCTCCAGTTTTCCCGAAACCTAACTCTGGGGGATTTCCCAGTCCCCAGGAGCAGATACTAAGGGCATGGAGGGAATGAGAACAAGGAAATTGCAAAAGGAGACAGCTGGATTCTGGCCAGTATGCCTTGCACGTGCAGCTACATTAAGGAACCGAGATGCAAGAGACACTGGAATACAAGGGCCACAAACTGTCCTGACTCTTTGAAGAGCCCTGCACTAAGCATGTGCTCCTTATATGCGCATGTGATTAATTAAAGAGGAGCTTAACTGAAGGAAATGAATAATAAACTACAAACTTCCCATGAAAGATTTACAACAGAACAGTTTCTTCACTCACGTTTTCATGTTTCATATGCTTGAGTAATCTAAGCTCCCGGTAAGTCCTTCTGGCATGAATGAGGGACTGGAAAGGTCTTGAAAGCTTTTTGACTGCCACCTTCTGTCTTGTCTTGGTATCATACGCTGAACTGAAAATAATTTAGGAATAATTTAGTCTTCTATTTTTACATTTTCAGCTTCCCACTCACTCAGCCAACAACAGATATTTCTTGTAGTTTCCTTTTGTATTTGCTTTCCTTCATTGAGTTCATATGGAGAAAAGTACCTCAGTAACTCCATTGGCACCAACTACTTTGTATATTTCCATTTATCAGAAACCACCCATCTACACATCATACACATGGACACACACAAACCCACAACTGAAAAAGCCACAACATCAAAACATTCCAAGGAACTGAGTTTGTCTAATATGTGTGAACCTATGGGCTTCTATGCAAAGAAAACAATGATTTGATTTCTTTTTCCAGAGATGTATCATATCAAGAGGTTGAATGTATCAGGAACCACATCAATGCATTCTAAACTTGCAAGTTTCAGCTATAAAGGGAGATGAGATTGCTGTAGGACACAGAAACAGCCTAGGACAGGGAAACAGTGAGAGCACAAATAATTCTATTGTCCAAAAATTGCTCTTTATCTCTCATGAAATAACTATATAAAAACACTATGACTACGAGTTACCAAACCCAACAACCCTAACACACCAGTTCATAGAAATAGGCCGGTTGTTTTCACTGTGGATATGGCAAGTACTGACCAAACTTCTCTCACACACCTCTGACTGCACAAAAGGTATAATGCCATCATCAGTGGGGAATTGCTGTTGATTAAAGAGTTCTTTTCCAATTTCAAAGTACACACTGCTTGCATGAAATGAGATGAAGTTCTGTGCACCTCAAAACTGAAAAAGGGAGTCTTTAATCAGCAGCAATCTGCTGCAGATGGCAACATCATTGCCATGGCACAGGCCAAGTTCAAAAGAATTTCACCTGCTGACTGGTCAATCTTTCTGAAACAAAACAGATAAAATAATAGTTTGCATTTTACCAAGATCAGCTTGAATTCACTTTTGTTGGCTGAAATTCTTTGCTTAGTGCAGTTAATACACAATTAGAGTAGGCACACTGAATCAATGGAACTTATGGAGGAGCTGACTCACCAAATCTCTGCTCATTCAAGGGGCCTACTCTAGTTGTGACTACACTAAACTATAGGATTTCACTGAATGAATGAATGGGCTGGATGCTCTGGCTAAGTCCCACACAATGCCAGCACAAGCAAACATAGGTCGTTTTTATTTTATTTTTTAAATTCTCTTGCTGTTTGTTCCATACTTTTTGTTATCTCATGACAGCAACTCTTTACAGAAAACTCTGCTCTCAGTAAATTAGTCCTTTTTGTAATAACACAGAGGATTAATCCCAAGTTAGCACCCTTCTCACAACTATCATGACAAATAAACCTGAAAACTGGCTTCATTAATTTGGCTTCCTGTCTTCTGTATCCCCAAGTCAAGACTCCTTAGGGAGCACTAAAATCTGAATTCTGGGCCCCTTGTGAACAGGCAGGAGTCTCTATTAATTACAAAGTCTGCCACCCTGTCTAGGTGTATCAAGTGTTCATTATGCCTGTTGAACATTGATATGCTGTATGTAATCTTCTCATGAGCACTGTTAATTAACATCTCCCAAATTACAAGGCTATAAAAGGTTGCCTTGGGCGCCACTGACAATAAACAAGTCTTCTGTACAAATAGCTGAGGTTTTGATCACTTGTTTTAAGCCACAATGATTCTATCTCATAATTTTTCTTCCCAATTGCCTGTCATGCTTCCTGATCATTTGGACATTTCTCTCTCTTTTTATAACTCATAAGCTGAATTTGCTCTAGTAAGTGCTATCATTACAACCTGATGCATGCTGAAAATAAAGTCGACATAATTTAGGATTCTGACCCCGTATGCAATGGCTCCATCTATTGTTTGCAACTGTTGCCTAAAGGACAATGTCTGACATGAATTCTCATCTGTCAGGAACAAGAAGGAAAACCAGTGTGGGCATGCGCAAAATGTTACCATCATAGCAAAGAACAGGAAACTCCTGAACATGGAAAGCTCCATGCATGCACCACAGATCCTACTGAGCTTTGATCTGCATTTATTTTTTTCACCTTGATTACATCACATTGGTGGGACTTACCAATGTGATGTAATCATCTGTTACAAACAACGCTGGTAAACTGCTAGCCCCTGACAGTAATTCTGGGCCACTTATTGCAGGGTAGTGAATTTGGTTGGCTTATTAACATGGTTGGATTACTGTTCTTTTTCAGAGGTGTATATACTTGAAGCTCAACTGATCTTTCATGGATACCATCAACTTCTTTAGGCACAGGTCTGAGTGGAGGGGTAAAGGAAATGCACTGGATTACAGATCTATTTACCAGAAGTGAACCCATTACAGTCCCTACTCTTACTGAGCCTCTAACAAAGAAGCCAATGTCTTGGTTTGAGAAATGACAGATTGGTGCATGTATCTTCATATACATGAACAATATTTGAATAGAGGTGCACGGCCCCACACAACATCACCAGAGGTCAGTCAATGATGGATCAAGGAAATCTTATTATTCCTCCTGGAATAATTTATTCTGACACTCTTCTGATTGCTTATTATATACTATTAAAATAAGCCAGTTGTGTGCTGCTCTAGAGGATTTGATGGGGATCCCAAATGTACAGCTACATTTATATTTTTAATAGTATCATCTTCTTATGAAATATAATATTGAAGTAGTAGTAATAATAATGGTTTTAATAAGCTGGACCTTATATTTCTGGATATGCAACAGAGAAAAACATACTGTATAAAATTTGAAGTTCCATCAACAAGCCACCTCAAAAGTACAGATAGTACAAAATGGCAAAGTACCAAACATAAAAGTAAGAAATTAAAAGAATATGCCTATCCTCCTTCCCATACGAAACTCAGCAACTGGAGCAATTCCAAAATTGCCAATAACTGCCAATCTGCCTCCTAAAATTAAAAAAAAAAAACAGTTATTTTGCAAACATACCATCCGAAAATGTTTAGGACTTCACTCCTAATGTTTAGGTTTGACCCTTTGGTATGCTGTTATGCATGAGTAATGCTGAGAAATAAGAAATGCAATATAATAAAAACAATATACTTCTGGGAAGACATGTATAGATTTGCAACATTACAGTACTGTACACTTCTATGCATGCCTATTTCAATTTAAAAAAAATCAAATTCCTGAATAACTTCTCCTAGTGCTTTCACAAATATGTTTAAAGGACATATAAACCTATCTATGTCTCAGGACTGACATCAGGATTCCTTCATGCTGGCCCACCACTGAGATAAGTCAGATGGATTGGCATTTCTACTGTTGGCTTGAAGTTTATGGAACTCATTTCCACGAGGTCTATCCCATTGGCTATGTCACTGATTACTTCTGAACACATTTTTAAAGACTTTTCTGTGCAAGATTACTTTTAACTCATTAAAAATGCTGTTAGCATCTAGATTTTTTTTTCTTTCAATTCTTTCATTTTAGGCTCAGCCTTAAACGACACTGAAGAATAGTCTGAACGGAATGTTAAAGGAGTTACTCTTTACTAATCTTCCGTGAGATATTTTCCACTTTGTGACTTATTTTTATTTCATTATTTTATTGTTATTTGTGAATTTTGTATCATATCTGTAAGCTTCCTTGAGATAACTTTGCCAGATAAGCTAACCTTAAAATAATAAATATGAAATAATTGAACAGCTTGGGAATCAAGATGGAGCCCTTGCAGAATCCCACAGCATAAATCCCATGGACCTGAACAACTGTCTTTCACCACCCCTTTCTGCTTTCTAACTGGACTACCAGAACACAAAGGCATTCCTTATGTCTTACACTCTATGAGCAATCTCTCCTTCCAGCTATATATAATAAGAGCAAATAAACAAAGAAGTTCAAGGAAGCAGAGAATAAACTCCTCTCCTCTCATCTACCCTGTCTATATCCTCAGCCTCCAAAACCTGAAATTCATCTAAGGAGAGGTCAATAATTGCATGCTGTCAAGTTGTTTCCCACTTACGGCAACCCTCATAGAGTTTGAGGTATGTGAAATTTTCTAAGGGCATCTTACTTTTGCCACCATGGTCAGTTTCCACTGCTGAGCAAGGCTCTGAATTCAGGTCTCCAAAGTCCTAGTCCAACACGATCTACTGCAAGTCTCTAATTTGAATGACTGAAATCACGGAATCCAAAAGAAACCACATACCAAATCATCTAATGATGATCTGAGAATGAATTATGGCTGTTGGGGGGATAGAATGATTAAATGGGTTTCTATGAGCATCATCTAGAAAGTATCCAGCTACACTTAAACCCTATCAAAATCAATGGTGGTTCAATATACACTTGAGTCTTATTTGATTTCAAGGACATTTTACAGCATGCTTAATCCTTTCAGAATTCTACCTTGTAGCTGAAATCATTTTAAACCCACTGATTCACAACAGACAGCAACAAGGAGCCTATCATATTTATTTCACTGAGCAAAAATCTTTGTAGTTTGAAGCCGTTGTGGGTGTACTTTAAAAACATGCTTTACTTTTAATGCATACTGTTTTATTGTTTTATTCTTCAAGTTCTTCCCAATTTTGTTTTTCAGAGCTTTGTTCCTAGAACAAAAAGGAGGAGGGAGGGAAGGAGATAAGAAAAAGTGAAAGAAGAAAGACAAGAGTCAGAACACATAGGAAAGCAAAAGATCGATACAGCAACAGTATCTAGGGCTTGCCTGTTTTACCCTTCTTATCAGGAACATGCTGTTTTTTGCTTGTTTAACTTCTCTCTGCCCTTCCCATCTCTCTTGGCAGAGTTTTCTAAATTTACTGTTTGGAATATAACTCTAAGGCTACACAAAAGATTCTGGGCATTGTAGTACTGGAAAAAGTTGCCTTTCCAAATTCTTGTCTCCTCTTCCCCATTTTTACACTCACCCCAAATCTTAGGAATTCAAAGAGAATTTATTGAGCCCAGTATAGTGGATCTCATGGTGATCACCATCGTTAGGCAAAAACAGCCTCCTCCATGTGCAGTCTTGGTG